TATATATATATATATATATATAACCGTGACACTAAAGTATTGAACCAAACTGAACTGTGAATTTTCTATATAGTTACACCCCTAATAAATGTGTATCTGTTTGAGATTGTTGTTATCTTCGTCTCACCRTGAAGCCCTCCGGTGCTGCCAGTGACCAGAATGCGGCCCTGGCCCTGAGCCTTCATCTCTGATAAGAAGGCCTGAATGGTCTGAATGGTTCCGAAGAGGTTGACTTCCAGAATATTCCTCATCGAGTCCAAAGACTGCAGCTCCAGTGGCCCCATCAAACCCACACCAGCGTTACACACTGAAAATATTGGACAAATATTAACTGGTGAACACTGTTACATCCTGTAAATTCTGCCTGAACCAATCGGMGTGTACCCAGAATGTCCACTCGTCTCTCCACGATGCTGTCTCGAGCCTTCAGGATGGACTGTCGGTCAGTCACGTCCATCTGAAGTATCTCTAAGGTCTCCTGGTGCAGGTCCTTCACACACTCCAACAGACGTTCCTTCTTGGCCAGGTTCCTCATTGTGGCATAGACTGAACACAGCGCAGCACTTAGTGGCACGTTTTACCTTTGCAAATGTTTTGGACTAAAACTGTGGTTACCTTTGAAGGCCTTGTTGGGGTCAGAGGCCAAGCGGACAGCCAAACTGAGACCGATCCCAGAAGAGCAGCCTGTGATCAGCACCACCTTCTTGTCCATGGAGCTTTGATCAGACGTGTTGCAGATGAAAAGAAAAGAAAGCAGCAGGAGCAAAGTACAATCAACATGAACTGAGCCGCAAGACGTGGGTGGAGGCTTTTGAAAACCCTTCTCAGATGATCACAAGGCCAGTAGTCCYGAACATCTGCCTTTTATCAGTCACTTGTTGTGCTTTTTCGTGTCCCTGTTTGAGAAAATCCTTCGGTTGTTTTGGGAAAGCTGTGTGGGAAACAGAGCTTAGCTTTGGGCTGGATTTTCAAACGTCTAGCAACAAAAATATTAATTAAAGAACTAGCATTTTCTGTGAAAATGCAGTGTGACTGCAGAGTGCTGAATGGCTGCTGGAAAAACTAAAACTGACTTGTTAAAGCTATGGCTAAAAGCTAAAAAAAGCAGAACCCTATAAGACTAGCTAAAAGCTGCAAAAAATGGTAAAGCCACAAGAAGTTAGATAAACCCTAAATTTAGAAAGCAGGTTTCTAAAAATATTAAATGAAGACAAAGAATCAAAATCTGAAGCAGATTTTTAGGAGATAATCAATATTTTTAAAGGAACACAAGTGATTTTGATGCAAAAATTAGTAATCACACAACCACTCGCGTTTAATTGACAGGTTACGTTAAAGACATGAAAAATATATTTCATAATAATGAAAATGTTCAACTTCTCCTGGTTGAATCTGATCATTGAGCACCAACAAGCACCAGATGGCAGCACAAGATTAAAAATCTGGTTCTTCCTTCAGACAACATCACCTGAGAGCAGACTGTACAAACACACAATGATATCAATTTAAGAGGTTTTAATCTGATGCATCTGAGGAAAATAACTAAGATCACTGGTTTTCAGTGTTGTTGAGGAAATCCAGAATTCAGATTTAGTTATAAATCAAGTTCACAAAGAAAAAGGGTACCACTTTAATAAGGCTCCCATTAAAGGTGGCTTATAAATAATTTATAGATACTGTAGGTTATTAATTAATCTGTAAACACTTCATAAATCATTAATAAGTGCTTGTTCTGCATTAATTAAGGACGAGAAAAAGACAAAACTGTTTGGTTTCTTGCCAAATAGTGAGCCAAATCTGTTCATGTACATATCACATCTAAAAGCACTGTATTAAACATTTCAGACTAGGTTTGAAAACATAATAATGTACTGGAAACACATATTTTACATCTAATATTGCACTGTATTATACATATCCACAACTATCAAAGGGAGCCTTGTTGTAAAGCGTACAGTACACTATAAGGCTCCCTTATAACATTTCTACACATTTATTAGTCATTTTTAAATAATGTACTGTGTTACTCTTTACAATAAAGCTCCCTTTTTCCAACCTGAAATATTCTTTATCACTGATTCTACTGCGGAGAAGTGTTCATGTGCATAAAACTGAGTTTTCACTAGATGGCCTCAGTGAACGATTAATAATCAGTGTGAAAATAGCTTGAGCCAGAGCAAGGTCATGTGTTTGTGACAAGTTTATAAAGCTATAAATGAAACAAACTAAACATAGATGACTTACTGTGTAAAATAAATGCTACTGCTCTTTTGGACTCATTGTGAAACAGGAAATACGCTGCGACATACATATTTATTACTGTCTGAATCAAAGCCAGTGTGTTCCGTGTCACTATAAACCGTTTCGGTTCTTATTCCTCCCTTTTGCTTTGTTTAAAACGCTCCCATGGTCCACTGACTGAATTCCTGGATGGTCAGAACAATTTGCATATTTATAGAACCGCTCGGTCGTTTGCTTTTAAAACAGAATTTCTTCTGCTTGTGAGAAACCCAGTAGGAATTTCCTGCCATTTTGTTGCGTTCCTCTCCTTGAGATGGCATCAGTCTGGCTGCTGTCCCAGAGTCTGCAGAGCACAGCAGATAACAGCGAGCCTTGAGCCTCTCTCTCAGAAACCCTGCAGCATTGTTCCAGCTCTCGAACTGACTGACCCGACTCATTATCCCGTGTTTGTGACAAACGGTACTCGATGATGCATTTGTTATTTCCCTTAAACTGTTGTGATTATCTTGTTCAGAGACATGAAGTTTTTACACAGAACACGTGTTTTTATCTCTGGAGGATATGCCTGTTGGATTATTACAGGAAATATTGAAAGGCAATGACTTGAAACTGGATGAGTTGTTGACGTTTCTGTTTGTTAAAGTTGTTCATTGTGAAAGAATTCACACTGAGATTATCTCTTCCATACATTTATAACCCCATTGCCTTTTGCACAGTTTTTGTGCTATTTCAACCATTTATGTCTCAAAATGTTCAGCTCCTTCAGGACATGACTTTTAGTATTTCAGCAATATGTATTTTTTCAAGATATTCAGCTGTTTCTGCTATATTTTCTTACTAAAGTGAATGGAGTTGTCTTTAACATCCTTATAACCCTTCAAAATGGTTTTTAATCTTTATTGCACTTTCACCTTTGGTCTGGTTCTGATTGCTAATTTTAGCTTTTTTCACTTTTTTCACTTTTTCAGCCATCATTCTGCTGCTTTCAGTTTTTTATTTATATTTTCTTGCTAAGTTCAACTGCTTCTTTTAGCTCATTTCAGCTAATCAGTGTGCATTGTGATTCGTTTCCCATCCAAGTCATCTCAAATTTGGCATGCTTCTCCTCCTGCATGCTTTGACCTAGAGCAGCCATTGTAATTTATATCTGTAAAGCTCCTGTGCCAAATGACGGCTATGCATTTTGGTGCCTGTAAAACTTATAGTTTATGAAATATCAATGTTTAATGAATTTTAATGGCAGTCAGTGGAGTCTTGTATTGGCCCATTACTGCCCMATGTTGTACTCAACTTTSTACTGCACCAYAGTTTAATATTTCTGCTCAGTAGTTCAGTGTTTGCAATACTAATATGATTGTGTTTAGATGTTTAACTATAATATTGTCCTAATATTGCTTTATTGTTGTTATATATTTCAAATTAGTGACAACGATTACATCGGCAATGTGGCCACTTTCTGCTCACATACAAACCAACCCCTGGCAGGGTTCTGTACCACAGCTCCAGTGGTCTAGTGGTTAGTGCCATGGGCTTTCATGTGGGAGATCAGGGTTTGAAACCCAGCAACAGCAACTTTAGCAGAAAATCTCTACAAACTTCATATTGTCACACAATTATCCTCATTACAAACACCTGCTGACTTGACCAGCACAGGCTGGTATAGAAACCACATTTGAACTTGGTCACAAGTTTATTCTGCAAGTCCATTGCGGCAGGCAATGACATGCTACATGGCAATGCACACTTGTTTTTACATCGTAAAAACCCATGTCTAGTTTACACTGAATTTGATTGAGCAAATTAAATAAAATTTACCTGATTTATTCACAAATCTTTAACTATATTCTTAAGAACTTTTACTAGACAATGATGAGTAAATATTACATGAATTTGTAGCCTTTAAATTTATTTAACAAACATCAGTGCGAACTGTTASCAGGATTTTCTCAAGTAAATCTCACAAGGTATTTTTTCAGTGTGCTTTCTAATAATTTCAGCTATATTTTCCCCCGTTTAGCTACTTTTTTAAGCTATTTTCAGCTTATTTTAATTTTATTTCACCTGAATCCACTTTTGGGATCGCTTTAGCTTCTTACTGCTTAGTTCAGCAATATTACTTTTGCTTTTTGATCTAGTTGATGTTTTTCAGCTATTTTTTAATCTTTTTCAATTAATTTTAGCTGTTTTAGCAAAAAAAAATTCAACTTTTTGCACTTCTTTTCTTATTTCTGCTAAATGTGCATTTGYTTTTCCTCTCCTTTTCTGTCTGCAAATTTCAGCTTGTTTCTGCAATTTTGTGGGTTTATTTTTGCTAATTTTAGCTACTTTTGCTTGACTTGAACAAACATCTTTCAACAAYAAGCGTTCACACTGCATTTTCTCAGGAAATGAAAATTCTCCAGTTTAGAATGAGATTGACTCCAAACGTTAATGAGTTGTACAATGTACATGTAATCATTGATTTCTGGGAGTTTCATTAAAATCTGCCACTGGTTTGAGCTGAAAACCAGTCATACGTTCCACATATCCTCTCTTTTTTCCACTCATAATGATTTTACCAGGACTTGAGGAGCCCCACTGCACAGTACGTGTTGTGAAAATCACACAGAGCATTTCCCAGGCTCTCCCTTTGGCCTTTGTAGAAGAAAAACTGCCATCAGCTCCATGGTTGTCAGCAGCAGATCTCATGGGCTAGTGTTTTATAAGTGGGTATATAACATTATAGYTGCTGGGCTTTTGTGATTTAACATCCTGGATTGAATTTTCAGAGGTGGGAACTCTTTTGATCTCCTACAGTTTTCCCTAAACCTTTTTTTTTTTTATTGTTGAAGCCAGAAAAGAAGCCCCACGATAAAGACACGTACAATAACTCTGCCTTATCTGATGCCGGATGTGCTTTTTTAGCTCAGATAAATCTGTCGAGCAAAGACGGATGAATGCTTTCTGTTTTACAAGTTTAATTATCAAGAAATATTTTGTAACACGATCTTTGAGGTCAAGGAATGCTGCAAACCGGCATCTACATGTCATCGATATGATCAACTAAAAACACATTTAAAAAAGGARCATCACCTCCCAGCATCCCTCCAGAATGCAATCTGCTCCTCCTCATACCAGGAGCACAGGTATGATCAAGTGTGTGATATGATTCATTTCACAGAAGCAAAGTTTTAAAAAAAAGGTTTGAGCTCTGTTTGTTGGCAGGTATAACGTGACATTTAACTACACCACAACCGCAGCACATCTTCAGCTCTTTCACTTCTCTTCATTATTCTCACACAGGACATCCTGTAAATCTGTAAATACGTTTGCTTCTGCCGTTGCTGTTATTGTACAACTCAGTCACGGGTCACACGGGTCTGCTCTAAAACATTATTTAGGAGACACTAATATCTTAAATCGTACATTTTATTATATTGTAATGCATCTGTAGCCTCTCACAGCATGACAGCATGAATGCACTGACACCACGTAGCTGCAAGACGTTTTTTTCCCCCAAAGCAGCAGAAATGACAGCTTTGTTTGCACTGCAGACTCCACAAGCTTGAGGCCCGTCTGCGGCAGCAAACGCCTCCAACGTGCATTTTACTTTGRTGTGAAAGGGGTGACTTTGTTTGCTGATACTTAGGCTCGCCATCTTAA